CATGAAGAGAATAAAAATACTGATATCTCCAGGAAGGGACACAGCTTGAAGCACCCAGACAAGCTAGCAATAGGACCACAGCATGCTCAAGAAAGAGGCTGGAGCCTGCAAGGTGCTCTAGGAGGACTTCATACCCCATCAGGAGCATGAAGTCCCACCACAGCATCACTAGTTGCCAGGACATACCCTGGCCAGGAACCAGATGGCAGCGCTGCCCCATCCCATGGCCATTAGTTACAGGCACATGGAGGGAAAGCGAGTGCTCCTGAACACGCTTTTCTGTAGAACAAATGCAGACAGGGCCACCTGGCGCTGTCTGTTCTCCAGGGAGAGGACTCCAAAGCCATGGCTCTGGTCATGGCCGTGGAAAAGCCCCAAGGTGCCAACGAGGGAGGCTTCCCTAACTACCGAGGTGCCTGGGGCGCAGCTGCCCTCGTGCCCAGAGCTGCTGTGGTGACCCCATTTACCAGCCGCGTGYTCCCTCCCCTCCTCTTCATCGGCTCTGAGGACGAGGTGGCAACGCGAGAAGCAGACACAGCCAGAAGAGCTGCAGGGCCCTTGTTGGGCTGTTCTCACCAGCACRCACCGAGCGGAATGGAGACGCAGAGCAGATTTGTGCCCAAGATAACGACATTTATTAGACAAGCTATTGAAGGGAAAACAAAAGGTAACAGCAGAGAGCCACTAACAGCAGCGCTGGAGGGAAAAAAAATCCCCGGAGAACACAAAGCGGAGCAGTGCTAATAGCTGGYGCTGCCCATCAGGGATCGGGAACCTGGAGCGGGCTCTTGCCATCACGGAGGAGGAAGGCCAGCGTCTCTGAGGAAGAGGAGGCAGAGGGACATGTAAGCATGCTCTCTCCTYGGCTCTTCATGCAGAAACCACCACCTTATGTCCTGACCACCATCTGAGGTGCCTCCTCCAGCGGCGACCCAAGGAAGGTCAGTTMAGTGCATGTTCTTGCACCCCACGGTGCCGCACGATGGAGCGTGGAGAGAAAATAATCCCATCCCGGCAKCTCCCTAGAAAGGCCAAGGCCCTTCATTAATGCCAGATTAATCCCGTGATTAATCCCGCAGAAAATGCCTCGAAAATCGYGAATCCACTTAAACTTCTTTATTAGATTAAAGGGAAGGGAGCCCTAGCCACGCTGAGCAGATATTCCCACAAAACCTTCCCGTGAAATTGTGTTTCTGATGGCGGAAAGAAAACAAACAATAGTAAAGTCTTAAAATCCCCCATYTTAGGCCATTTCACTGCCTTTACACCCCTCCCAGGCAGGCCCAGAAGCATCGTTTTCCCCTCTCCGTCCAAAAATCACCCCAAGATGCTCAGGTCTAAGTAAGAATCAGCGGAGTAGAGGAGCTAGCTCGGACGCAGCCTGCACAGACATCAAGCTGCCACGCCGGGGGCTGGGAGGGCTTTAAAATATGAGGTTGAATTTCACAGCTCCGAGAGCATTTTGTTTCCCAGCCCTTGAGAAAGGGCCAATTGACTGCTCTGAAGTGGCATTTTCTGCTAAAGGAAACAAAATAAAAATAAAAGCTATTTTTAAGAGCATTTTTTTTTAAGGGCGCGGTTCTCCTTCACCGGTTAAGCTGGGCTGATGGAAGCTTTCCCGTTTGCTCTCCCAGATTTTCTTTTCCCAGCCAGAGGATCCCGCACGGGAGCCTGCTCGAGGAAGCCAGGACTCCGCAAGCACATGGTCCCCTGCTTCCTACCCCACGGAGCAAAGCCCCCCAAGACCCCAAGCCCGCCCTACTGATCCATCAGCGCAGCCTGGCAGTGCGGGATGGACCTGCTTTTCCCTCCATAGGGAGAGCGGAGCAAGGAGGAGCAGTGCACTAACCGCACATCTGCTCCGAGCAATCAAGCACTGCCCGAGCCCCCCTGCCAGGACCAGAACAGCCCCACGTGCTGCCCAGGACCCATGTAGCCTCACAAGGAGCCACCCAGGTGCCCCAAATGTCCTCCTGAACTCCCTTGCACAGCTGCAGGCTGATGCCCAAGGTGGGTCCCCATCACTGCTTCAGGGTCAGATGGGGAAGGAGCAGCTGGGTCTGGCTGACCCCTGTGACAGCTTTTCCCCAAGCTCAACACTAATTGAGGTGCTGCTACYGCTTTTCCTAATGCTGCAGTGGTGGCTGCTCCTGCACAGTTAAGMCAAGGGTGTTTAAGAGGTGATGCCATGAAGCTCCAGGTGATCCAGATTGGCCCAAGCCTCCCACCGCGCCTGCCCCACCAAGCTCTGCTCCGCGGCACATCCATCATTCCCACCGCTCTCCTGGCATCGGACATTCCCACGGCCCTGCCAGATGTGCGCTCCAGCCCTCAGTGCGTGGCTTGGCTCAGCAGGCTTAGGAGCAACCTTGCAAAGCCAGGCTTGGCTGTGGGAGGGATTGGGAAACCGCTCCCGGCTTCAGGAAAGCATTGCCCAGGGAGAGCTCACTTGCCTCCAGCCTCACCGGGCACCATGCAGCTCCTCGACACAGAGAGGGGGAACCATTCTGCCTCCCAACCTGGTGCAGCTAAAGCTAAAGCTAAAAAACCAGCTATGTAGGATGGTTATTGCTGTCACTGACRTGCTAATCTCAAGCTAGGATGCGCTTTGCRGTGGTCGCTAAATCTCCTCCCTGGRCTAAAAGTGCGGGAATTCAACCAAAAATCTCAGCACACTGACAAAGGAGGGAGTCACCCCAGACCTTTGCCCAAGGCAATGGTTTGCCCTAGCTCAACCCATTTGATCACATTCAGGTCTSCCTTCTGTCCCTAGATACTGGTTCTGGTGCCTCCAAAGCACCAGCACACCAGAAAGCCAAAATCTGGCTGCTTCCAGGAGCAAAGAGCAGGGCAGATGTCAGGGCCAGATTCGGAGCATCTTCCAACTCAATATGGTCACAGGGCTTTCTGCCAGCTGGGCTCACAGCTTCTCCTGCTCTGCTGATTTACTGAGACCACCCTTGGTTAATTTTGCCTTCCCAAGGTGAGGATAAGCTCTTGGATTTGCAGACATATTGAGGATCGTGGATTTTGTTTCTTTTTTTTTTATTATAAAGCTTGCTGCAAGTTGAACAGGGGCAGATTCTGCTTCTGCTCACCCCAGCTCACGTCAGGGCAGCTTGGCCTCCACGATGGGTCTGCATCCTACCAGTGACACCACTAGTGTCACCTAGTAGGAGAGCCTAACACCCAGCTCAGGGCAAGAGACGGCCACGGGTTTTGAGGGGCTGGACAGCACCCTACAGTGATGGGGCTGGAGGGACTGGTGACCAGGAGGGACAAGAGGCCTTTTCTCATTGTGGCCTTTGGGAATGCATGTGGCTCCATGCTGGCTGCATCTCAGGACCACACAGACCTCTGTGATGGGCAAAGGCTCACGCACACAACGGCCTCCAACTTTCCCTGATGCAAATGTGCGAGGAAGGATGTGGCTTTGGCAGAACAGCAGCACAGAGGTGCACGACGCAGTGGCGCAGGAGCAGGAAGGGGACACCACCMAAGTGACAGCATCCTAGCAAGATGATACGACATCAAACAGCCATGTCCTCATGAACACCCCGTATTCACACATCCGCCAAACTCACTCTCAGCAGAGCATTTAAGGAACAACCTCAAAAACCCGCATGAGTGAGCGGCAAGGAGAGCAGCCAGAGCTGATGTGAGGCAGCGAGAACGAGAAGCGGCCACCTCCAGCCCTCCAAGGCCATCCGCTATTGCACGTTGAGGAGAGCGAGCGGGTGCAGAACTAGGTCACCGTCATGGGGACACAGTAAGGAGCACCCAAACCCTTCTCTGAATTACCCCCCATGCCAGTGAGCCAGCAGTGAGGGAAGGGCACCGTTTCCTTAATGCATGTGTTCCAAGGAAAGAGGACAGGGAACAGCCAGGTGCATCCAGATGAGTTATAACATCAAATGTCCCCGTTGTAGCCATTCAGACCTATTTGGAGTGGCTTTTCCCCGTGGAGACTGGGATACAAGATTCCTCCAACGCTTATCGCAAGCTCCTGGAGCACGTTTCAGAGATCAGAGCAGGACAAGGAAAGGGAAACTGTTTTGTTAATCCTGAGGCCACCCCAGAGGACACTCAGCACCCTAGCTAAGTAATGCACCCATCCTGGRCATCCATGCAACATGACCTGCTGCATGACAGCCAGTCGCAGGACTCCCTCAGGAATACCAGCATCAGCACACGGAGTAGCCAGGGAGATGCCCCGGCTCTTCAGCGAGAGCGTTCACAGGAGTTCCCACGACCATCACCTGCTCCACACCCAGGAACACCAAGGAAATGGAGCCCGCGGGCATCCCTCCTCCCTCGGCCACAGCTGCAGCGCCCGGATCACTGCCGGAGCCCGCACCATCCCATTTTCCCTTCCCCGATATGAACCCTTCTTAGGAGCCGCCAATTAAGCCAGAGAGCTGTTCTCAGCTCGATCTCCCATGCATGAAAATGCCCTGTTATTTCGCACCTGCCAAGAGATGTGTCCCAGCAGATTCATCTGGAGCTGACACTTGAGGATAATTAAACCCTGCTCGCTCCTGCGTTTGCTGCGCAGCAGATAGAAGAGGTGCCCTGGGGCCCTGCAGTCTCTGCTGTGGTGGGTTGCTCCTGCCCAAGTCAAGTAACACGAGAGGAGACGCAAGAAATGGGGGGGGGGAGCGGCACTTTTGCAATTTGCCCTAATTCAGGCAGGGAATCACTCTCCATTTAAGACGCATGCAAACAGCTGCTCCAACAGGGAGATCAGCTGGATGAACCATGCTGGAAATCCAGCGCCCAGCATCCAAGCAAATTCCCTTCATCCCTAAACCGGGGATACCAGCACTGAGCGCCAGCCCCTAGAGGTTTCCTGCATCCTCCTCCTCCTGCGGCCGCGCTGCCCGGGGCAGGCAGCGGCTCCCGCGCATCCCGGTGGGTGCCAGATGCCCCTTTGGCGACGGGAGCGGGGCGACCCGCACTCGCCCACCCCGCTTCCTCGGTGCCCCCCTCCTGCTGGGTACCTGGGAGCGCCGCGTTGCTGCTGCTGCTGCCGCCGGGCTGGGCTCGGGCGCATCCTCCGCCGCTCCGCTCCGCTCCGGGCGCCGCGCCCGCTCCCGGCCCCGCGGCGGCGGCTGCGGCGCGGGCGGCCCCGCGCTCCGCGGCTCCGGCCTCCGCGCTCCGCTCGCCGCGGCGGCGCCGCGCAGCTCCCGCCCCCGCTCCCTCCCTCCTTCCCTCCCTCCGCCGGCACCGGTGACAAATCGCGGCGCGGAGCCGCTTGGAAGGAGCCGCCCCTTGGCTGCGGCCATCGGTGTCATGAGGTGCCAGGGCTCAGCTGGCCCCCCGCGGGCTGGCGCCTGGCTCCGGAGCGGAGAGAGCAGCAGGGACGCAGATGCTCTGAGCAGTGGGAGTGCTGGGCGCTGTGCAAGGGCACGATGCACCAAGGCAGGTGAGGGCAGAGGAGTGAAGGTGCTGGGGATAAACGTTCCTTCCTGCCACCCAGGGAGGCTGTAGTGGGATAGAGCTCGTGGAAATCCCTGGGGAGAGAAGAGCTGCCTGGGTCTAGGCTGCATAGATACCCACTGCCTGCTCCCACACCTTCTGGAGCAGCAGAATCCACGCCATCCCCAGGATAAGCCCCATGGGAACACTAGCGGCACTGGCTTCTCGGGAAATTCTTTGTCCAAGCAGGCTTTGCAAAGGGGTGAAGAGCAGCCTAAGGTACATGGGCAACACCAGGACCCTAGGGAGGTGGGAGGCACCAGGGGTCCTTGCACAGATTTCCCCTTTCCCCGGCCTGCCACCAYGCTCCACATATCACCAGAGGTTTCCTCAAGGCCAAACCCTCCCCAGAGGTCTTCAAGAAGGACCTTGCAGGTTGGTGGCTTTTAATCAAAACTCGAATTCCCTCCACCTGCTTGTGCTCTCTCTGCTGCTCTCCCCAGGATGAAGTAAAGCGGCTCCTAAAGCATGCCCGCTTTTTTCCTGGGAGTGAGGGAGGAGGGCGGTGTAAAACTGCCCCCAGCACTATTGCCTGTGCTGCAGCAGCACCCAGTGGCCAGAGCTGGCACAGGGACCCCACTGAGCTGGGTACTGCTGAGGGTCCCTGCGTCTGGACTTACTCTCTTTCAGCTAAAACTGGGATTCAGCAAGACAGGAAAAGGCATCTAGCAGGAGGACCCCGAGGTGAGGAGGATCTGGGATCAGGGATGCTCTTCGTGCAGCTCTGCAAGCCCTCCCCTCGGCCCCCGCGCCATGCTGTGTGTGGCAGCTCCCTCCTGAAGCCTGTTTCCTGTGCAGAGATGATCTCTAGCTGAGAAATTACCTGCTCTCCACACTGATTAGGGTGCTAATCAGCGGATGCTTCACCAAGGCTGTAGACAGGCCCTAGAGTCTACGGGGAATCAAGGAGGATTTAATGCACTTTTCCCATGCCGAGGTCCCCAAGGGGATGCTGGAGAAAGTGGAAGCTGGGATGCTGCTCCTTTCCAGCTCCAAACAGGACAGTTTTCTTCCTCTGCGTCCAAAGCCTCACAGCTCCCAACCCGTCTCTTCCTTTCCAGTCTGCAACAGCCAGCTTAAACTTATTTGTTCTTGTGCCAGCGCTGTCTTTTAGCTTAAATGGCTCTTTTCCGTACCTGGTGTTTACTCGCTTGATATATTTATGGCGGGTAATAACCTCCCTGCTCTGCCTCCCCTTCATCAGGCTGAGCAAGCCAAGAGCTCTCAGTCTCCTGCTGCAAGACAGGCTCTCCATCCCCCTGGTCGCTAATAGCCCTTCTCTGCTTCCAGCCCATCTTACGGGAAGCCGGGTGGCTCCGTGTCGGGCAACAAGGACGGCTCGAGGCTCCCGCACGCTGGGAATGGCCAGACTCATGCCACTAAACACGAGGGAGACGGCAGCACCATGCTCCGATGGCCACTAATAACTTCACCTCTCCCGTGCTATTCTCAGCAGAGATAAACCTCCAGTGCGTGATGAGCCAGAACAGGAATATCCAATGGCTCTCCTTTCTTTTCTATTTTTTGCTGCAAGCTGGTTAACCCTGAAATCCAATTATTGCTCATTATTCAGTGGAACTTGCCTCTTATCAGACGGACACATTGCAGGGCCGCCGTGGCGCGGGCTCTGAGCGCTAATGGAGCTGCAAATTGCTCTTGCTGCCCCATGTTCAGCAAAGCAGGGGCCCGGGAGCTGCTCTGGCTCCACCCTGCAACGCAGAGCTCACGGAATGGCTCAAAAAGCCTTAAAAAAATCCACATCTGAAGCCCAAGGTCTCCACCAGCCTGGCATGTAACAGGGCAGGGAGAGGGAAAGCGGGTCCGAGCCGTAACCCAGATGGAAATCAGCCTCCTCTTCATCACCACAAACGCAGCGACTTAACAGACTTAATAGTTTTTGATTTCATTAATTTAAAGTAGGTGTCATGGGAAAAAGAGAGAGAGAGAGAGAGGGAGCACATTGTTAATTTTAAAGACCTCTTCCCAGAAGGCCTTACACTGAAAAAGAAAAGAGAAATGTTAGGAGAAAATGGGTTGTTTCGGTTTTTTATTTTGCTTTCCTCCTCTTCCCCCCACCACACACCTTCCCCGTCCATCTCCGCTTGCTTGGTGGCACAAGGGGACGTGAGTGCCAGGGCTGCTCACACCAAACGCTTCAGGTGCCTGCACATGGTTCAACTCCATGTATTTTGCCGGATTCTTCAAGTCCTGCCATGAATTTTGCTGCCAGGTCCAGCTGAGCACTTCTTAGCATTGTTTCCGATGCAGAGCTGGGCTGCATGGAGCAGGACGGCTTGGACCTCAGGTGGGAATGAGGCAGTGACCAAAATGGCCCTTAAATCCAAGTGTTTTTTCAAAGAAATGTGCTGTGCATTAAATCCCTTTCCTTTGTCATCCTGGTGCCATTCTGCACCGCGGCAGGACGAGTATGAGGAAAGTGCATTAGCTGCTAGCAGGAAAGTGAATTATTGAAGTTGAGGGAAGCGGTGCCGAGTCGCTTACCCAGGCGGCTGGGCTCTGCTGGAAATTCCCAGTTAATTATTCAAGGCTTGATTTTAAGCGGTTCCTGAAATAGAGAGGATGGGGATCAGGAAGGAAGGAATACGGGACCTGGGCACGTTCCCATCACTGGATCACCTCTGTGTGATCTAGGTGGCTCTGAGGATACTTGGAGCCCTACAGACAGAGATTTCATTAAAGGAGCAAAAAAAGAAGCAAA